TACCATTAGATGTTTAGTGTTAAATGCGTGAACATTTTCGTGGGTTAGTTTCAGTGACAGTGTGGTTTTTGTCACGTGACACAGGCCAATGTTGTTGTGAGGTTGAAATTGAATTGCCACGTGGCACATTGATGGTGTTTGTTGGGTGCCACAACATTGGTAAGTACACTAAGGCTTTTTGTGCTTTCTTACACTTGGGGGATAGAAGATACATGCCACACATACTACGATCTGACCCGTTAGGCAAATCGCAGCCGTAATATATTCTTAACCTAAACCCGTATTTTTTTGTGAGTTAGGCATGTTTTGGGAACCCTAATTCCTGTCGATTCCATTTGTTTTGTTCTAAAACTGTGGGAGATCTGTGATATATATTGAGGTACGATCATCAATCATGATCTATCATAGTTGTTTGTGTGTGTGTCGGCGTATTGGTGAATTTATTACATTGTGACATTCGAAGGTATTCTGAGCAGGGCACGGGAGAGGATTTGAAGGAGGCGTTGTAATTTCTCAGTTGGGGGTGGAACGATGTCTAGAAAAGGTACGTGTCACCAACTTTGTTGTTGTTTTCCTATTCGTTATGTTCCATGTGTGGTTGTAACATTGTGTGGTTGTGGTTTGGTGATATTTGTATGATGTTCCGCATCAGATGTTTTGTCATTGAAAAACGTTGGGGTCGTAGATTGTGTGTGGGTATGTATTGTGTGTTGCGCTGGTGTGTGTGTGTGTGTGTGTTGTTGTATGTTGTAGGTGTCATATACATGAAACGCGTGTGATGGGTGTGGCTGTTTATATTGAATCAAAAAGTGTTGGGTTGTGATGTGGGCTGCAAGTTTGGCGTTGGTATGTAATTTGACACAATGTGGCATGCCCCTGTTTAAAATGAGATACGTATCCCCGGGGGGAGGGGGGGTTGTGATGTTGTGCAAGTGGTGTTGGTTTTTTGTGTTAATTGTGTGTTTTTTTGGTTAGATGGTATTAGCATGGAGTGTGTTGGGCTTTTATGTATTGTCGATTGCAGATAGTGAACATGCCAGAAAGGGTTTTTGGCAACTCAACATGTTCGGTATGTGGGTGGTTTGACTAACTAAGTTAATACATGAGAATGTGCAGTTGGGTATGTACAAGTGTTGTGGTGTTAAATTTGGGGGAGGGGGGGGCAGTGTGATATGAGTAGGTGTGATTGGGTTAGGGATGAAATTAGTGTGAATAAATGCTTAAGGGAATTAGTGGGTTTGTGAGACATGTTTGTACAAAAGTAGACACCTTGTTTATGTTGTGGCACACTTCTATGAAACCTTTGACACGTTGTCGCTGCGATGTTTTATGTTTTCTATTATGAATTGTCTGTTGGTTGTAGTTGTCATGGAGTTGTATGTGTGTGATTAAACTGTTTCAGGTATATGTGTTATGTTTCTAATTTAGATTTTGCAATTTTAATGGTTTATGTGTACACTAGGTAGGTGTTAGGGTGTATGCAATGTAATTAATTTGTTTTTTATGCATTTGTAGATGGTGACAGTAGCAGAAGTCAATGGGCGCGTTCATATGAACGGAAGTGTGTTAAAGGTGCATGTGGTGCAGAACCGAACAGACTGGGTGTTAACATACAAGGCCGCATATTGTTCAAGAAATCGAAAATAAACCACCAGCAAGGTGGCGAACAAGTTACTAAGCCTGCTGTTAAGCCATCACGCACTACACCCACAAGGATTAACTTCCACTCAAAGATTGCAGGCATCGTGAAGCTTATAACAACATCTTCTTTGAGGGCTAGTCACTTTGAACAATTGAAGAGGACTCAATTTTGGATCATGATTGAGGCTATCCGAATTAACAGGCTGAATCACAATGAATTCAGGAAGTTTGAAGAGGCGATTTTGAAAATAATATGGACGTCGACGCACATTGTGACGCATTCAACATTGGTGGAAATTTTGTGACGCTATGTAGGAGTGATATTAGGCTTTTGTTTGGGATTCAATGTGGTCCTAGGCATATTGATCTCTCACCTTATCAAAGGCCGACATCAGATTTCATTCAGCGGAGGAGTCATAACACTGTAAGGATAACATCGAAGCTCGTGAAGACATTGTTAAAAGAAACCGTAGCGGGGCGAAGAAGGGTCGAGGAGGAGGACGCAACGAAGTTGTTGACACTTTATATGTGTGGGAAGATGTTTTTTTTGCTAATTCTAGGGAGACGATAAGCTGGCCATTTCTGCGATACATTGATGACCTGAAGACCATACGCACATACGATTTCCATCATACACCGAAGAAGGTCACTGGCTGTGTTGTCACATTGCTGGTATATAATTTTGGTTTGTTTTGCAAATGTATTAATTGTTTTACGCATATATGTGCTGTTATGGTAATGGCCGATTTTAAAGAACTTTGTACTTGAACGCAGTATTGGATTTGTGAACATTCAACGCTGCTGAAACTTGAAACGGAGAATATGTTCCCAAGATTTCTAAGATGGGACATTGGTGCCTTAGTTACCAGGATGTGGGGTTTGGATTTCTTAGCACCTGGCAAATTCCAAGTATATGACCTATTTAGTGATGTGCAGTGTTTGTTCATAACTATTATTGGATATGGGTGTTTGAATGTTCGTAATGTTTGTGTTATGTTGTGTTTTTTGTGATGTGCAGGTAGGAACTGACAGATTAAGGTCTTTAGAGTACGATCGTGAAATTTTGGCAACAAACGAGCATGGAGTTGGCCATTGTGATGGGGGTGATGGATGTGGTTGGTGTTTGTGCCGATGGGATGGTACGTATGGTGCATACAGTTGGGGATGGCATAGGAGTGAAAGCAAGTGACATGCATAGCACGGTACGTGATGCAAAGAGTGACGTGGCAGGTTTAACCGAATTGGAGAAGGCGTTGAAGTCGATGCTAGACATGGAAGTGCAGAACAAAACAAACGAGGGAACAATATCAAAGCTAGAGGATGAAGTAGTTTGTTTGAAGAGTAAAATGGAAATGCAAGCCGTGAACATTGTCGGTAGGTTCGGGTGTGTCATGAAGGTTAAGGATGACGAGATGCGAAAACTTGAAAATGAGAACAAGGAATTACGCCAAACAATTTCAATGTTGGAGGACCAGCTGGCTAACCAACCAGTGCACACTGTTACGCAAGCTTATTAGAAAAATGACTTTGGGAACGTTGGTGCAAGTCATTGCCAAGGTGGAAGTGGGTTCCATGTAACGGTGGTGCGCGATGTAACGCCCATTCGAGTTGAAGTAAATTCGGGTGTTAGTTGTCAAAATGTAGCTGTGCACACAAAGAAGTGTAGGTGATGTCAGTCTATCGGACGTTAAAGTGGGAGTGTTTTCGAATGTACGGAAAGGTGTGAGAAATTCGTTTGTGCGTAACATTAAGAACAAAGTTAGGAAATAATTAAGGCTGAAAGATTATGACTACCAGTTAGGTCGTGATCACGAAAAGAAAATAGTCACACACGAGTGCAAAGGTAGGGAGGTGGAAAAGGGTAATGTAAATGACATAGTTATAGATGTGGACACAGTTAGCATGCCTGTCAATAAATGGTCTGGGTTTGAGTTAAATAACCGGTTTGGGATATGGAAACTGATGATGTTTGAAGAGAAAGAGAAAATAACAAAGGCTTACGAACAAAATGGCGACGGGTATGTACGGGTATATATACAATTTCCCCCTCCCCCCTCCATAAGCGTTACGTGTTTTGGTGAGATGATGTGATGCTGTGTTTGTTTTATGTGTAGGGCTATCATGTGGGTTAGTGTTGAGGGCGGTGTGTCGGTGTATTTTACCGACGTTAAAAGTCTTGTACGTGGAGAAAGTATTCGTGGCAATGTGAGTTGTGTTATTACTTTAGTGTCACATGTGTTGTGTTGGGTTACATGGAATTGTAAATGTGTGTTGTCGTATGTAGTTGATATGGTTGATTTCCCTAACTAATGTTTTCATGTCTTACTGTAGGTATTTGACGCGTATGCTGAGATGCTGTTGACAGAGCAGGCGCATGTCTCTGCGGTGATGCTGTAGTGAACAAATTTTACTTCTTCAGCAGTATTTGCATAGTGAGAAGTACTGTGTAATTGTTATATGTTGATTCACATCTTCTGATAAAAAATGTTTTTTTTGTAGAACATTATCAAAACGACAGCATGCAAACAATGAAAAGTTATGTGGTGAAGAATTTTGCATCATCTAAGGATTGTCGGTACATTCATTTTCCCATATGCAACCAAGCACACTGGACTCTCGTGGTGTACGACGCAGAGGATAAAAGTTGGAAACATTTTAATCCAATGAGGCAACGTTCATCCGGCAGATCAGGCATGCATTACAATGAAGCGCTTATTCTGGCAAAAAACCCATGTAATTGTTGTTCTAATAAGGTTATGGACGTATTGTGAGTTTGAATTTAATTTGGGGGTTGTTTTGTGTGTGATAGAAGGAACGTGTGTCAATTGTAATGAAGCGGTTGTAATGAGCAGATGGAATAGACGATGTTAGCATCGTTGAGACCTTCAACCACCCCCTCGAGTCTGTTGAAGATTGCCCCCAGCAAAGAGTCAACTCGTAAGTAACCCGGTGTTGAAACCATAATGTTGTCCATTGTCTCTTAAAGTGATTGTGCAATGTAATTGACCAATTGTTCTTTGGGTTTTTCCAACACAAGCCAGATTGTGCGGTTATTGTTTGCGCGGTGATGCAGCAGTATGTACACCATGTTGATGTGTGCACCAAGCTGGAAAAAAAAAATTAAAAATTCATTAACTTACATTCATCCAAAACCAAAATGCAATTAAAAAAATAGAATAACCTATTAAAATAACAAACTTCCCAGACGAGGCCATTGACAATATAGACCAAGTCCACAAGTAGTGTTTCAATCTCTTCCAAACATCATGAGAGCATCAATTCATTAGTAATAAATAAACATGTAAAAACAATCAACTTTGACCCAAAACCAAGATATTTAAGCATTAGATATTTTCGTATGGTCATATGATTAGTAAAATTAATTTCTTTCTTCTACAATAAAGGTGTACCTTCCAACCTTAGTAACCAGTCTACAAATCACAAACAAGCAATTAAAATCAACCACCATGGTATTGACAAAACAATGAGACACTTTCAATATCGAAGGCAGAAGCAAAGAATTCTAACAATATAAACACCCTAGTTTAATCATTGAAGATTGAAGAACATCAAGTACATTCCCATTTATAAGTGAGCTTCAGGACTTCCTGAAACTTCTTTCATCACCTACCACCACCACCATCATCCAACAAGCACAAAAAGAGAAAAACTGACTATTTTTCAAGATGGACTAACCCCAAAATGACTAGTCTTCATGTTATAGAAATCCTACACAACCTGCCCCAATGATCAAAAAGCTTTCTTTTTTCTTTTTTTTTGCCTAAATAATAGCTCTATGACTACAAAAAAAACAAAAAATTGAAATAAAACAATCATGTAATAAGCAAATTGCAATTAGGGGAAAGAATAATACTATTCTCTTATTGTAAGCCTCGATGTTCTTGTTGTATTCAGTCTTCCTTTTCTCTGCCCTCGAGACAAATGGGGCTTTCTCCTAATTTTCGAAAGAAAAAAGAAAAACAAACAATCATTATAAATAAATGCATTTACTTTGGAGTAGTTTCAATTAGAAGCAAATTATTAGGTAGAATCGTTTTCTACAAAATTACTCACAGCTTCTGACATGGATTTCCATTTGTCTCCACCAGCCTTACCAACCTGGACCAAATTCGATACAAAAATGCTAAAAATTAAATCAAATTTTAACAAAATTAGACAGGATTCTGGAAATAGGATGATTCAAAAACGCTTACAGCAGCAACAGATTTGTTGTTTGGATGCTTCTCCTTGTACGTCTTCCTGAACTCCTCCCTAAGATATATACACACAAAAGCAAAGCAAGCAAATAAGCCCTAAATCAATTGAAAATTTACATTTACAAGAAAAGCACAAATCAATCAACGATGATTATACATGAAAATGAAGAACGCACTGGCAGGCCTCTTAGGCTTGCTAGGATCCTTGGCAGCAGCCTTCCCCTTCTTCGCAGGCTGTTTAGCAGGTTTCTCGGCACCTCTCTTCTTCACAGAAAGCCTAACAACAAACCACAAACAACAATCGATCTTCATCATCATCAACACACAAAAACAAAACAAAAAACAGATCGAGAGAGAGCCAATCGGTGTAGATGCAAAACCAGAGAGTAAGAGACTATGAGATGAGAGAGTGAGGGAGATGAGATAGTGTGGGAGACAAATCAGAGACAGAGAGATCTAATATGTTCGAAAAAAACCAAATATCGGGGAGAGAGAGACATAGATAGAGACTGAGATTCAGAGAGAGGCTTTACCTGTGAGGTGTGCGATGAGACCGATCGGTCGATCTTGCGAGAGAGAGACTCGATCAGTGGGTGCATGCAGTGCGCAGATGGAAATCGCAACAGTGAGAGTGAGAGTCAAACCGAGAGGAGGAGAGGAGGAGAGGAGATAGAGTTCTGTTCTGAGTGAGTGAGTGTGTTTGATTAGATTAGGGTTTTTCTTTTTTTGAACGATCAGATTTGAAGGGAAAAAAAGGGATTTTTTTGAACGGTTAGATTTAAAAAAAAAAAAAAAGGTTTTATGCGGTCGGGTTGGGTGGGTGCGGGTCAAACCCGCCACCCGCCGGCAACCCGAAAATTAGATATAATCCAAACTGCACCATACCCTAATGTGTTTGCGAAATCGCCCATATATGCGCGGTTCAGATCGGGTAGGGCGGTTTGGATGGGTCGGATGACCCTATGCCCAGCCCTAACCCAAATTATTTGGTCGACTTACATAATAAAAATGACATAATAACGCAAACAATAATAGTACAGTATGTTCGGTGTGTTGGTACACACTTATTTAAAGGAAAAAAGAAAACTGCAGTGACAAACTTTGGAACGAAAATAGTAGACATAAAGTCGCATGCAGCGATGGCTAAATTGGTTCTTTACATGTCTTTCTGTTGTGGTTCCCCATGCATTGACGACGTCCACAACGAATTTGCTGCACTTCTTCCTCCCGTGATAGAATTCGTTTTTTCTTTAGCCTTCCCGATGGTCGTTTCACATCTGGTGGATGTATGATGAAATTTTCAGTGTTGAACGATGGTTTCTCAATAGGTGGTATTGGAGTTATGCTTGAAGCGTTTGTGGAATGATATTCAGATACATAGTAATAAGGTTCAACCAAGTCATACAAATCTCGTCTGCTGTTATGGATTGCAACCATCGTGTGTTCACGTGCTAACCGTTTAATCTGCCACTGAAAACACAAACACGTCCACCTGCCAAGATCCACAAGTACTGATGGGTATGAATGGACCTCGTACACATCCTTATTTGAATGGCTTACAAGCCACGCCCTGCCTTTGTTGTATGCTTTTACCAACCGGGACTCCATTTTGGGGCAAAGAACTCCAGGCCACGCGGCTACCTTACGTCAGCATTTTGACATTTGGTCATAATTTTCGTTCTAATGCTATCAACCATCTATGTGACCGGGAGGTGGCGTGCCTCACGGATCCATGAGTTGAATGACTCAGCAGCGTTGGAACACATCTTGCCATATCGGTCACCCCTACACACACAGAGATGTAAATGTAAAAATAGTTTCATGTAATTATGAATGAAAAATGCATTAATTCAGGCATCGTACGAAATTAATTTGGTTCAATATATTCGTGATCGGGTGCGTACCGGAAGCAGGCATTTGTCAATACGCCGGGGGTAAATCTTTTAGAAAAGTCATTGCCACTTGTCGGCCTAATGTCTTAAACCTTTCTAAGCTGGAATTGAATGTTGTTACGATTGGTGCATAAGCGCATCACGAAATTTGTTTAACAAGCTGACACAGTGCATCTTGTTGGTGTATCGTATCTTGTCTTGCAAGTTCCATTGCAAATGTGGCAAGCAGAACGCGTGGTGGGCAGATGGAAATGTGATTGGAATAGATTCAAGTAAATGAATGTGATCGTCCTGTTCGTTTTGACCACGTTCGCGAGGTGTTCCAAAAATCAAGCCCAATTAGTTGTGTTCTCCGAGTCGACAATTGCAATAGCCAATGGGAATAAGCATGTGTGCAAAATTGATAGTGGGTTCAGTAAATGGGTAGGACGCAAACATCATTGAGTTAACAAATAAGACAAATTATGTCATTAACAGTGTGTGTTATGAATGAGCATAACCTTGGTTGCCATCCTTTGCAGTAGCAACTAGTAAGTTGCCTTTGAATTTCCCCTTTAAGAAGTTACCGTCCAAGAATAGTAAAGGGTGACAATGATTGAAACCATTGATGCATGTTTTGAATGATATACAAGATCGTACAAACCGGTGATTTTGGTCATCATAATCAATGTTAATGTAACTGCCCGGATTGTTTTCCATAACAAAATTACTATACCACCGTAATTGATCGAACGAAATGAAATGTGCATCGAACATCTCGCCCCTTGCTTTCTCAACTCCCAACCATGCTACTCGTTAGCTTATCTCTAATACATAATCTTTCTTCAAGTCATAAACAACATCGAACGGTCATGTGAGCGGTTTGTCATGTACTCGTTCAGTGATAACATCGGACACTAAATCAGACCCAGCCCTTGGGTTCTTTGATATCTGAATGGCAACACTGCAACTGTGATATGTATTCCACTTATGAATGTAAAAGAACTTATCAGCATGCAGGACTCATGCGTATATAGACCACATGCATCCTTTCGATTCCCTCATCATGAACAGTCATTCTTCAGATACTTGAACTAGAATCCACATTCAACTGCATACTTACGAAGAACATTACAAAATTCAGCAGCCCCGCCCTCGAAGCTTTGACCCACGTATGTGATGCCATTAGGCCATGGAGCGGACATGTAAGCTTTGTCAACAAGAGGACAAAATTTGGGGAGTAAATCATCTTGTTCATCATCATCGCCCCCCGACGAACTGAATGTAACATCACATTGTTTCTGATTTGCGTCACCAATACCATTTGAACTTTGCATGAATCGAGTTTCAATGACGACGTCATTATGTCCTAAATGGAAAGACCGTGCAAGGGATACCATGTTTTCCATATCGATATCATTTTGTAATTTGAAACTATTGTATCCCGGAATCTTGAAAAAGAAACACACATCAGCATGTGTGAGACCATCAAAATTTTGACAAACAGAATTAACCAAATCATCAAATTGAAATGGAAATTGCAACTTGATGGCGGCGTTCATATCACGGTAACAACACACTAACATAACATGAGCGTCCATTCCTACAATATGAAAACAATGTAACAAATGGTTTTAGATTACAATAAGTGCAACGCAACAGACTGTAACATACAAATATATGTCAACAACCCCTTCCATCCTCCGTACCCTATGCAAAACCCACCCATGTGTATTGCATACACAAAAAACTCGCCAATGTGTATCAAACATATTGAGGGTAAAAATCGTATAAGTTACACAGTAACACAAAACTAGAACAACCAAAACACCAATGCATGGCACCAATGTGTCATCTCGACAATGACGTATACAGCCGAAAACTGTTAGCATATTGAATACGAATGTGCCCAACCCCATACGAATGGGGAACAACGATTACAATATGAACATTATATGGCACACCATGCAATTAAACTAGATACATGACGCACACGAAAATAACCGAGACAAACAATACCTCTAGCACACCAGAACTACTATCGGCGGATCTTCGAATCACCGTCTATCCACAAACACACCAATCACCACAGCACACCGTCACATCAACCAGAAAAACCCTAACACAATGAAGGAAACATATTGTACTTCCATATACACAACCAAACCCACAAAAAAAAGAGCCACGAGAAAACAAAAAGGGTATAAATGACCATTACATATTACCAAACAAGGAAAATAGGATCAACAGGAATATATTCTCCCACTGATAGGACCAATCAGAACAACAGACACAACGTTGGGACCAAATGGTGCAATTGTTTGTGGGATGGGATTTATTGGTAAATATCCCTTAAAATAGTGTGGAAATTTTAATTTTTTCATTTTACATAATTTTATATACAATTAGATCTTATTTAATAGATCTCATCGAGTAATTTTCAAAAATTTAATTTTATCAAAAATCGATATGTATTTTGAAATTTTAAAATTTTGAAACATAAAAGAAAAAAAAGCATTACTATTCAAATCTGAAAATAAAACTAATTTTTCAAGCACAATATGTGGCAATCAATTAGAATATCTGAGGCAACACTCTCTCTTATTTCCCTAATAATCAACCAATGGCATCACTTATACATCACTAAGTCTAAAAAATGAGTTTAGAAAGTGGACTTGTATATCATTTTCCAAAAGAAAATAGTTTCCATATAAATATGTTGACCCTTGTATATCATTTTCCAAAAGAAAATAGTTTCCATATAAATATGTTGACCAAAATAAGGGTAAAAATGTAATGAAACATATCTAATTTCGAAAAAAAAAATCTATTGTAATACCAAGAGGGAATAAAAATAATTACATTAATTATGTGGGTCCCAACACTGTCACGTGACGTGATTATGGATTATCACATGTATGGTACTTGTCAAGTCCTCATCAAACGTTGTATTAGTGTTTTATATTATGCAAAACTCATCAAGAGATGAAATTTTATTCATATAGGAGTTCTAACCAATAGGAGATTGTTTGGGATAGGACTTCTGAAATATTTAAACTACTTACTAGGCAAGTCACTGGATATTATAAATAGGTGACACCGCCATGGATTTAGATACGCTATTTCTCTATGTGAAATTATCTATTAAATATTTTTATAATATTGGAGGACTAACTTAGGCATTGGAGGACCCCTGACCATTCAACGGCTGGGGGAGCTTTATCTTGTAGATGGCGAACGAGATGGTGGTCCAAGTCATCTTCTTCGTTGGATTTCTTCATCATCAAGTACGTGATTTTTCTATATCCGTACAATTGGCACTGCCAGTGAGAATTGACAGAATTTAGCAAAAAAGATGATTACAGTGTGCTTGTGATATGCATTGTTAACATATGTATTA